CAGTTGCCCCATGTGAGGAACCCTGGGATAGCTACATCTTCATGGAGATGAGCAGATCCAAAATAACACGGCTACTGGAAACCCCAACCAAGGAGGGGCGGAGGGAGGGTTGGCTGTTTCTTAATCAGTCCAGCACCCATGAGCCTGATCCTCATTCCCTTATGGTTTTGAGATGAATGCACTCCGCTCTGGTCCATGTCCTCTCTGTATGCGATAAGGAGCTCAACACTCTCTGACTTTCCCACAGGGGGAACATGTCCAAGACCCTCTGAGCGGCCTGTCGAAGCACGCACGTACTCTCCAGCTGAAAGCCGTTACTAGCGGGTGCTCTGAGCATGTGTGCTGGGCTCCCATACGTGCGAGGGTGAGTGTGAGCGTGCATGAGACTTTTTCTGGACAAGAGGAAGTTTCCAAAGCCAAAGGAAATTTCCACTCTGGCTGAAAATGGGGCAATACAAAAAGAGAGGAAAAGGAAAGGGTCGAAATTCAGGCACCGGAGCGGCATTATTCGGTAGTCTACTAGAGTCTGCAAGGGGCGGTGGGTGGTCGAGTTCATATAGCATGCTGCTGCTCTGCCTACTTTCCTGACTGTTGAAACAACAAAAGACAGAGGGGGGGGCTATTTCTCAACTACACCGTACCTTTTTACAGCAACAGATGTGAAATTTAAGAACTTCCTGGAACCAGGCAATTTCAGACAGGAATCTTCCATTGAAAAGGCAGCCACACACACACACACACACAGACACACCCATAAATCACAGGTGTAGCTCTCACCACATACCACTGTGAAACCCAAGCAGAGCCAGTTCACACACTGCACTGATCGCAGACAGACAGCCAGACAACTGATCACAGAACCAAAACAGCAATCCGTCTACCTGAAGAAGGCCTCTGGGGCCACACACACACACACACACACACACGCACACTCTTCCTCAAGCGTAATAGATTGCAATAGTTCTCTATTTCATGCATCATCGACACTTTCATTTAGACACCTGTGCCAAACACTGGCATACACTCCAATCCTGTTAAAGACATTTTTTAAATATCATCAGTGCCGCCGTTTGAATATGCATTATAGACAGACATACATAGATACACTAATCCCTAAAATGCATTATTTAAGTATCTTCAACACCGCCATTTGGATGCATGAGCCAAATACAGACACTTAAATTGATCCCATTATTTACAAGCTAAAAAAATTGCACACTTTTAAACAACAAAGAGTAATGCAGCCGTGAGTATTTCTCACATTTCAATAATCTGAAGCACCTTCTAAAAGCGTGTGGAGGTTTGCATAATTACTGTGCCAAAGTATCAAATAAGCAGAAGACCCAGCGCAGAACCGCAATGAGAGAGACTGATCTGGCGGATAAGGGGATCAGGTGACAGTACAAACTGCTTTTTTCTAATCCTCTCATAAAAGGTAAGCAACATTTTCAACAACCCAACTGTCAAATGAATGCCTTTGTGGGTTTAAAGCTAATAGTAAGTCTATAATTAGACATGATTATGCCTCCAATACGTCAGATGAGTAACTACATGAAAAATAACTTTTTGTTAGTTTCTGTCCAACCCTCTCAGTATGGACTGGGTCTTCTCCACCGGGAGCAGCAGCCCAGCGCAAAACGAAAGCTAAATGTACAGTGCACTAGGTCACAAAGACACAGGCAGAGCCAGTATGGGGGAGAACATTACGCTGAAGGCTCACAGCATTACTCAGGGAAGAGGCAGTACCAGGTACCAAAGAACTCCAAGAAGCAATGCGGACTCCAAGCAGAAACGGCCACACTTTGGCAGTAGGCACCCAAACGGGCCGTTTCAGTTCTGGTTGTGAAACACTCCCACAGCGGCTCTCTGCTGCTGTCACAACACTCTGAAGGAGTTCAAAGGTCAAAACCAACAGCACTTATTCTCAGGGTCTTTCCAGACCAAACTTTCATGAACTCGACTAACATTTCAAAAGTCACATCAGCCTTCATTCTCGCCATTTATGTCTTCCTATCAAAGGTCAGGTTTGTACAAGGGCACCCTGCCGCTCGTGACTCTAATTTTATTACGGTAAATCGGCCCTTTCATCTACAGAGACTCTGCCAAAGCCTTTTATTGCCAAGCCAGGTAACCATTAACCCCGAGGTGCGTTGGTGTGGTAACCTGGAGGACTTGACTCGAAAGAACAAACTAGAAAACGGGCCGCCCAAAACAATTCCGACATCTCCAATGACCCAGTAAAAGCAGGTAGATGGAAAACTTAGCTAACCAGCTGTCATTTTTAGGTGTGAGGATTTTAATCCTCACACCTCTCTGTTAAAGCGCTGCACATACCCAAAGCCAGAGGTGCTGAACAGTACCTACATATGCAGAACGAGGCACGTATCTATACAGCTTGTGTGAACGAAACACATGTTCATTTCCTCAGTGGTTTCACTTAAATTCTTGAAATGCTAATGACTACTGCATGGTGAAACTGAAGAAAATGAAAATTTTGTTACCATAAGACAGAAAAAGAACTATTTTTAGGAAACAAAAAAAGATACGTTCAGGGGCATTGTAAGGCCTGTTTTAGGGGGGCTTTAGCCCTCCCCCAAATAAATGTACACCAGTTAGTTTAAATAATGTGGGCCATTTCCAGCAGACCCCCCTAATACAGGCTTAGCACCCCCCCCCCTTCACAAATCTCTAGCAACGCTCCTGTTTACTTTAACAAGTGTATAAGGTACTTTAGTTTCCATTAGTTTTGCCCCTTTAGGGTGAGATGCTGTGACTATGATGAAACCATGAGAATGGAACAGATCACCTAACTTCTGGACTACAGTGATCATGTGAGAAGAAAGGTTAAAGGTGTTAATCAGCACCCTCATCTCCACATCTCTCCAACTTGCATCTCGGGTCCGTTTCACATACACCGTTATAGTCTATGCTAAATAACCACCAAAATACATGTCATACGTGCCAATCCCAGATGTTATCAGTAGACACAATGCGCTTTCTTTATGTCAAAAGCATAATAAACAGCCGAGCCCGCGGAGAAAGGGCAGCTTTGGGGTGTGACCGCTTCACGCTGAGGGTCAGGGGTGCCCGCTAGGTGTAGGAGCGGAGGTCAGCCGTACCCAGCAGGAGCAGCTTCACTTCTCTGGCCGCCTTCTCGCCATCCTCTCGCAGGTTCCTGTCGATCATCTTGGACCTCTCGGCGGCCGCCTTGTCCTCCTGACTGACCGTGCAGCCCATGCTTCACGACGGAGACACAAAAAGCAAAGTGTCACTCGACGGACCGCTTCCCCCTAAGCGGCCGTAACCCAACTTCCCCTTTCAATAAAAACCCCCTTATCCATCCGTATTCATCAAGTCAGCGGGCTATGTTCACCTTTCACGCATGGCATACTCACGTTTGGGTGTTTCAGAAGTCCGTACAAACCGTCAGCGTACTCTTAACTTCGGCGTTTTGCTTCTGAAAACAGGAAACTAATAATCCATCCGTGTGGTGCTTTCGGAAATCTCACGAAGCCGGCGAGACGAAGTGTCGCCGATGGAGTGAAACTCGCGGATCTCGGGCTCTGAAGTTAGAAGCGGAATCTCCAAGAACAGCCTCTTAGAAACGGAGCATAACGGTCCTTTCAAAGTTAGGTGATGATGATGAAATGCCCACTAAAGCGTAAAGCAGAAGTCCTACAACTGTAAATGGATCGAATCAGGGCGGACCGGAGGCGACGGGAATGATCGGATCGGATCGGAACCCGAAGGCGTCCGGTCCTGACTGCCAAGCGCAGATCTGAATAAACACACTGACCGAATCCGTCGCAGCTCAGCCGTCCAGCTTACTCCAGCCTTCTCCAGCGTCGCCGTGCTAGTCTGATTCAGTGCTCCGTCTGACTGCCGCCACACCCGTACCCAAAGTTCCCCCCCAACCGACGAACAGCCTCCCTTCAGGGAACCCGCCCTGCCTCAGTAACAACGCCAACCCGGCGGGATTATGGGAACTGTAGTTCGCAACGCATAGTCGCCGGAGTCATAATCGCGGCTAAATGAGGCGTGTTTAAATAATAATGTATCAATATAACTACTTTATGTCTTTTATTTGAGTCATGTTGAAAGTGTAATTTTCAGAAATTTGATTTTTCATATACATATTTTTGCGGTGTACTATGATCTTACAAATAACTTGTACTGAAATGTTACTGATGATGTTACTCATTAATATGGTCGGCTATATTTTAAAAGGTTAAATGGTATCTTAAAATTAGGAACTGCAAATAATGCAAACGGATGCCACAGGAGTTTAAGTACTGAATATCAACATTTATGAATTACACTATATCAGTGGAAATTTAGGAGAATACAGAGAGTAAAAACTCTAACAAGTACAACAGCGCCACTGTGCGTGAGATACGCAGGACTGCTAGAGAATCCTTTAAAATGGGATTTAAATGTTCAACCAATTTTAATGTTATAATAATATTAGACCTATATTATAATATGTTAGAAGCGATGTGTATAACGACAATTGTCATGCGCCCATTCTTTGTTATGGATGTGAGGGGGTGACATACAAAATGTATTTTGAACCATTTTATGCAGCCTGTTATCTTTAACAAAGCGTTTTGCTAAATATTATTACAAAAAGGATACGAAACACTAGCATGGAAAAATCCGGGTGTGTTTTTACAATGTATTGAGTGGTCGCGTTTGTGGTCGTGTCCATATTAAATATGCTTGAACGTGTACTTCATAATAAATTATTTGTTGTGCGGTTATATGTGTGGTTATGTTCAAATTTATTCTATTAGCCGAAGTTGTTTGGAATCTCCTGAACATGACAAAAGTCGTAGACCTACAAAGTTGTTTTCCTGCTGCATTAAGTGATTTATCGGCTTTGAAGAGAAGCAGTTTACTATCTATCTGACTTATCTAAGACTACGTCAATATGAAAAAAGAAGGAAATTACACTCTCTAATTATGAAAGTGCAGACATGTTGAAAAGCATGACAAGTGTCTTGTTTTCATTTTTATTGCAACACCCATTGCAACTTCAGAAATGCATTTAAATTTACTGATAAAAACAAAATCAGACATAAGTTTTGTTTAAAAGCATTTTAAACGATTACATTTGTTTTCGCCAAACTAAAACATCTCTATTTACACTATGAAACTAGATATGCATCAGGAATAAAAAGGGTTTACATTTATGTACAATATATATAGATGCTGTTGTGCAAATCCAAAATTTGTTGAAGTTATTACTTTACTCATTATCATTTCATTAAGTGAGTCACATAACCAGAGCTAAAGGTATAGAGGCAGTGCCCAGATATGATGGTCAGTCGCAGCTCTCAATGGCAAAATGTCGCCACTTGGTGTTCAGTTTTGGCTTCTGTTTTGCCTGCTACACTCAGTGGGAATGGTGCTGCACAGTGCTTCCCATTCGAATGTGTTGCCCGTGGAGTTCCAGCTGGTCAGTGAGGTACTGGTAACTAAAGCCACAAAGACATTAAAGGTAGATGCGAACTCGTGGGCAACAGTGAAACAACAACTGACCACATGGACTGGGGACGTTCCTGTTCAGGAGGTTTGTGCTTCATAACCATTTAGTCTCATAGGGTAGTGAGTATTACAATGACACAGACATACAACGGTACTGCACTCACTCTGGGACAAGAAACTGACAAAGTTCCACAGAGCAGTTCTACACAAACACCAGGCACACAGCAGATACAAAAGAAACTCTGTGGCTTTTTTTCTGTGTTTAACAAACCACCAAAAACACAGATTTTTAAGGGTAGAAGAGTTTCACAGGGATGTTTCACTACAGAGAACTGTGGCATCAGTTTTGCTATAAAGTACAATGTCGACCAGTGCATGAAGGCTCAGAACCGAGTGCAGAAACACAAATCAGGAAAAGTCAAGAAACCGCGAAAAACACGCTACAAGAGACTGTGTTTTGTGTTAGACTGTTCCTGATTTTTTGGCATTGGGGTTCGGTTTTAGGGCTTCAGTGTTCATGAGACAAAAGAGGCGTAAAAGCAACCTCGAGTACCGAACATTTCCAGCTCTATGCTCAGGATGATCGTGTTCTTCACAACACTGATATCTACATTTCTTACAGTAGCCGCCCTAATGTTTCCTTTCAGTTCCTCAGACAGATGTTGTCCAACACGGGGTGCACTGCAGTGTGTCTGGAGATGCCAAACAGGAACTGAGCATGATGGGAAATTTTTGAAATTACATAATTACATTTGCATATCCTTGTACTGTGTTAATTAACTTCTATTACTATTTTGTTTAACATACATATATTTCATCTTAAAAGTTACAAAGTTAAGTATTTAATTGGTCAGTTTGTGAATATTGTATGTAATTTACCAGGACAGCACTGTGGCTGAGTGGGTGACAGTGTTGCTTAACTCCTTAGGGGTATTAAACTAGCTATAGTGTCAGAATTAGAATCAGGTTCATTGGCTAAGTATAATCACACACACAGGGGATTTAATAGGGGTCCAGTGTATGACCTTGTACGACAGCTTGACATACAGTAGATACATATACAAATACAGTACAATGCACTGATACACTGGTTGTGTGTATTCTGTAATGGACTGGCATCCCATCTGGGATGTGCACATAGGTTGTGCTGCCAAGGATAGACTCCAACCTCCATCCATGATCCTGTACTGGATAAGTGGTTAGCAGATGGATGGATAGATGAATGGATGGATTTAGTATAGCAATCAATCGTTATGAACACGCAGAGCTTTTTTAAGCGTTCTATCCGACGATCCATATTAAATCTAACTGTAGTGGTGCCACTTATCTCCATTCTAAACTTACATTTTAAATGTAAACCTACTCTGTAGTTCATACAGTGTTATTAAACATAATCATACCACAATGAGGTTCCATTAGCAGAAAGGGTCCTGTGTGCGTGTGTTTTTTCCCAGGTGTTCTCTGTTTTCTATCACTTTGAGATTGTAAGGTTATGTATTATTTCTCTCCTGTAGAGGAGTGTTGTGACATAACAGCGAGTGGCCAGAAATGACACCAGCACTGCTCAATAACATCTTGGACTACTGGCATAACAAAGCCCTTCAGCATCTACCTTAAAAGATTAAAAACATACAACACAAGGGGAGAAGGATTTATCCACGCTGGTGTTGGGGTGGGTCTCTTTTTCCCGATGAATGCACTGTAGATGCACTGGCATCTTTTATCCTACATTTGCTTTGTTGTCTCCAGTGAGGTTCTGGTGTAATTTCAGCTGAATCCTCTAACCCGACATTTCTGTCGCTCACCCCCAGAGCACAGCATTTGTGCTGGTTTTTAGTCCAGCTGATCTCACATTAATTTGGCTTGGCTGAGATTTTAATTAAATGCACTGTGAAAATTATCACAACGCACAATAATAATGAGTTTTTACACTTCTTTCACAAAAAGGCTAAATATACCACATGGATGTGATGCCTGCTCGGGAAGCGGTGTCACATTGTGCTTTGGTTTCTCAAAATCCTGATCACCGAGCTGAGATGTGTTTTTGTAATTCCTGCTAACATTGCATCTCTTCATTTGTCTTACGATATTGTGCTGTTTTGTCACTTGTGTAGTTCACCCATTCCTCCATTCTCTACTCACCCTGAATTGTGGAAACCTCAAAAATAATCCCCCAGGTTGCTTTTTCTAAATTATGATCCTGTTCTCTACCTGTGCCAGCTTTCCCATAATATATTACTGTGAAAATATGATTTTATCATTTCTGTAACTAGCATAACAGAATATACATATATTTATCCATTGGGTGGCAGGGTGGCGGGGAACCCGGAGGCAGGGCGTACCCTGGATCTGATGCCAGTCCATCGCAGGGCACACACTCACACACTAAGGGCACCAAATCACCTAAAGGCATGTTTTTGAACTGGGGGGGGGGGAAACTGGACCAAGCAGAGCAATCAATCATGGAGACAGACAGACTCCATACATACAAAACTTGGATCCGGAATCGAACCCATGGCTATGAAGATATGCTACCCACTGAACCACTGTTTCCATGTTCTTTATATAGTTATTCTTTATATATATTTTCTTAAGTTAATTTTATTAGTTTAATCTGTTCTTTAGTTAATTGTTCAAAGGCTACACACTAGTAATCATTGATTAAATGAAAAATAATGACTAATTCATTAATTCAAAATCCAATGATATTAAACCAAAGATTAAAAACTATAAAGTAATAATTTGTCACCACTACTCTCATCAAACTGGGTTAACATGACTGGAAAGTTAAACAATCATTTCGCTAATGCATTGAATTTAAGGTTTTTTCAGTTATCATTTTTGAAGTCAGCTCAATGATGACACGGGATGAATAAAAACTGTGGAATGCACGGCGTACCAGGGGAAGCAGGGTCAGGAAAAGTGAGGACAGTTAGACCAAGGAGTCTGCTTTCACTAAGCACTAACACTGCAAAGAGCTTACGAGACACCTCACTGGCACTCAGACTGATTATTCTAAGGTAAAAAACAAGCTGCGTGACACATAAGTCCCTTGTAACTAGGGGAGTGTTGTCTCCATACACACACACATAACACAGTTCTGGCCTGCTGTGACTAAAGGTGTTTCAAGTACTGCTGTTGATCACTCAACTTTGTCTGGCCATAATTCTACCAGAACATACATATGAGTGTCTATGGCCTCCACCTGTATGGATCAGACCAGGGCCATGGTTTTTGGAAGGTTCAGGATCCCGCTGGGCTTCCCATCTCAGCACTACCATGGGCTGCTGATGTGGGGTGAGAGGTGTGGCCAGCGGACGTCCTGAAGCCTGATCCCTCCACACCACTCCCTTTGCATACCCTGACCCCCTGAACTATTGGAAGAGATAGTGCATCCTTTATATCACATGATCCAAACGAAAGACACCCAAATAAAACAGAAACCAAAATACGGGAAAATGGTGGAGGAAATCCTAATGGCCACTGTTGGTATTTTTGCTTCCCGTTGTCCAGTCAATGATGATGAAGCTTAGACTCATTATCATAAAAATGAAACCCAGTGCAGCAAAGCAAGTGGCCTGAAACATAAACAGTGAAAAAAACCATAAGAAGAGTTTTACAGCCATGAGGCAGAGTTACCGTAATTAGTGTCACAGTAATGAAAGACAGAATTAAAACAGTCAGACAGGTTTACAGCAGTGAGGGCGAGCTATAAGAGAGAAAGGGAGAGTTACAGCAGTCAGGCTTACAGCAGTGAGAGAGAGCTACAGGAAAAAAGAGAGAGTTACAGCATTCAGACAGATTTACAGTAGTGAGGGAGAGCTATGTACAGGACAGAAAGAGAGTTACAGCAGTGAGGGAGGGAGAGGTACAGCAAAGAAAGGGAGAGTTACAGCAGTCAGGGTTACAGCAGTGAGGGAGAGCTACAGGAAGAAAGAGAGAGTTACAGCAGTCAGAGTTACAGCAGTGAGGGAGAGAGAGCTACAGGAGCGTAAAGGAGAGTTACAGCAGTCATGGTTACAGCAGTGAGGGAGAGCTACAGGAAGAAAGATGGAGTTACAGCAGTCAGACAAATTTGCAGCAGTGAGGGAGCGCTACGTACAGGACAGAAGGGGAGAGTTACAGCAGTGAGGAAGAGAGAGCTACAGGAGAGAAAGGGAGAGTTACAGCAGCAGTCAGACAGATTTACAGCAGTGAGGAAGAGAGAGCTACAGGACAGCAAAAGAGTTACAGCAGCGGCAGACGGTTAAGAGTAGAAAAAGAGCAATGTATAACAGTGAGAAATTCTCAGCTGAGGAATGGCCACAGATACTCACCAAGATTTTTGGGGCAGAACGCATGGGTTCGTCCTCTCTGGGCATAATGCGGATGTAGAAGATAGCGGGGAAGATGAAGATGAGGCAGGGCGCTGACGTAGCACCTGCAATGGGAGATGGCAAACTGTAGGGTATCAAATGCAAACACACATACACACACAGCAGAATCCATCAATATTACTGCTCTGTGAAATGAAAAATTAAAGACTCAAAAAGCTAAACTCAAAAAACACTGTTATAAACGGAACAACAGGTGTATTTAAATGTTTGTTCCTTGCTCCTGAAGTGAGCTTTTCTTTTATAAGTAAAAAAAAGTACTGTAGACTTTTCACTGGGGATTTTTTTCACAGGACATCAAAGCTCACCGATGATGCCAAAGATTCCCAGGATGTTGGGAGCGAAGATGACCAGCATGTTGATGAGCACAAGGAGAATGATGGCAATGGCGATGTGGCGAAGCCAGTTAAACGTCTTATTCGGGAAGAGCATCTGTTGGATTGCCCGGCGTACCTGCAGAAGAAGCGGGTCACGTTCTGGCTGCCAGCACCTGAGCACCTGAAGGAGCTTCCGTGTCTAACATCACGTTGGAGACTGTGCTTGGGGGTGGGTGCAACATTTCGCTGTATCCAAAAGTCTGTGGGCTAAATCTGTCTGATGCCATGGCCAGTAACACAGTGAATATGACCACAAGATAAAAAAAACAGATTTCCTCTGGCATTCCATCTGTCTAGCTACATGCCAAGAGTTACATTTATTATTACAATTACTATCTTGATTATCACCTATGTAATTGCTTTATTGTTATGTTTGCAAACTGCAAGACCCCTTAACGATGTCACATTTCACATTAGCTTCAGTGTAACATTAATCTAGTTTTGTTTGCTTTTTTATGAGACTGGAAATGCAAACAAAAAACCCGTTTGTTAGGCTGTATAAGAATAACAGCGGTCTGAACTAATTTTGTTTTGCATCCTTGTTTTAATGGGTGCCCTACATTAATTAATATGTAGTTACCATTGAAAATGGGGTTGGAATCCCTAGGGAGAAAGGATCAGTGAATAAATAAATGTGTAAATAAATGGACCAGGGTGGTGGTGGTGCTGGTGGTGGTGGGGGGTGGATACTCACGGGAAATAGCACGATGGGCACTGTGAGCGTCACAGCTGTCAGCACGGCCAGGCGCACACATAGGATGAGCGTGTCGTATGGGTCGATGCGGCTGTAGGTGTGCAACAGCTCCGCCTCCACGTTATCTGCAGGGGAAACACGTGGCAGATTACGTCATCACCACAGCGTCACCACTACATTAGGCCATACACTTTATCTACCAACAGGGGGAGCAGCTACTCCAAGCTTGCTTTTCCTCTCACAATGATTTCAGTTGTAGAAGGTATTTTGAGAAGAAATTTCAAAGACATTGACCCAAATTCAGGGAGTTAACCAAAGGAACCACCAATGAGAACTGAAATCTCTCTGAAATACATTAGGAAATAGCCATATATATTTATGAACTCAAAAAGCAGACTCAGGGTCCAAGCCTGAAGACCACAAGGAACAATTCAAATCAATTTATTTTTATATAGTGCCTTTCACAACAGAGCTGCATCATTAAGACAGAATAATACAAAAACAGGGAAAAGGAGAGATAAAGGTATGAAAAAAGAGAGCCAGATGACAACAGAGGAGAGGAATCAAAAGGAAAAGGAAAAAGGAAGGAAAAAAAACCTCTGGGGGTGCTGACATTATTGAGACAAGCAAGAGAATATGAGAAACAAGCATCCATCCAGACACCCCTATGCTCCATCTGTCAGGCAGGGGGCATTCGTCACACACGCGTCTGTCTCGTGGCTCTGCTTGAGCACCAGCACACGCAGCAGATATGAGAGACTCTCAGGAGAGGGTGAGGGTGACACATGCAGAGCTCGGCGGCCAGAGGGACTGGCAGGGGGTCAGAGCTCACCGTAGAACGTCAGGTATCCAAAGAGAGCGGCCAGAAAGTACATGAAGTACATGATAGCGATGGAGATGTTGGCTACATGCTGCATTCTTCGCTTGGAGGGGCTGTAAACAGAGAACAATGCTCTGGAAAATCTCAAGATAAAGCTTCACACGTACATCAGACACTCATACACAGACACTTAGAAGCTGTTCAGTGTATTTTCTGTCCAATTCTTAAAATACTGCCATTGTGGTGGGCTGCATTGCATCTTAACTGAACCTGATAGATGTTGGGTCAAAGAGGAAGCACTGCTGCCTTGGGTCAAACTCACATCTTGTACACACATTGCAGACAGAGGGGTAAGATGCAAAATGATTATGAAAGCAAGCTAAATTGCCAGCTGGACACTGTGCTGATGCAAAATGCTGCGACGGGGGAAGTGATCCTTTGTGCAGGAAGGCAGCAGACAGGCATGCTGGGAAGGATGGAGGACTTACTTGCGCAGTTCCGTGTAGATAGGCAGCACCTCTGGATGGCACACAAAGGCAAAGGCGAGAATAGGGATGGTATAGGATGTCTGAAATACAAAACAGCACCTCTTCACTATGGCTGCCGCCAGTCTCAGACCTTTTACGCGAAGATACGTTTTACAGCCTTTACAGAAAGAGCACTCCAGCTTTAGACGCTAAAATCATTACCTGTACGCTGCTCCAAAATTCTGCAAAGTTCTACATTCTGTGCTGTACCTTCTTGTGGCACAGACTTATCAGGGTTCAAGCAATAGATCTTCTCATAAAGATGTGATGTCTAACATTCATCTAAACGTGTGACTGAAGGGTGAAGGAATATATGAGCACATTCTATCAATCTATTTCATCCATGTGCTGTGCGTCTTCAAGGCATTCAGCCAGCTCTCTCCTATTCAGACATGTTAATGAAGTTTATAAGCAGTGGTGTGGAGAGTGAGTAAGACTGGTATGGCAATGGAGTAATTATCTGTGAATTAGCATGCTAACGCCTTTGCATCAGGCTGTATAAATCAGTGTTTCCCAACCTGGGCCTTGGCGACTCCCAGACAGACCAGATTTTTGCTCCCTGCCAGCTCTCGGTAGGGAGCGAAAATGTGGACTGTCTAGGGGTCCACAAGGACCGGGTTGGGAAACACTGGTATAAATAGCAGTATTTCTACCGAAGCAAACTGCAATTTAGTGGTGTCTGCATTGGCCTCAGCTGGAACTTTGTAATACCTGAACCTTAACACTCTCACCATAACACCAAACATAAGCCCTGTCCCAGTGCACTAAAGATCTGCAGAGTGAGAGCAGAGCTTAGCATATGTGTGTAAACTTGTCTGCACTTGTCATAGAGCTTCCCTGGGCATCACCTGAGTGTTGAGGTTGAACATGCGCGGGCTGCAAAGGCTGGCAGACCCCTGGCTGCGGTCACCATGGTAACTGATGGCAGGCTCCATGGTAGCGCTGGTGTTGAGGATTATCGTGCTGTTGGAGGAGAAGTCTCTGAAGGGACAGGAAACCTGGAACTTTTTGTAGATGACCTGTGGGCAGAGGGATCACTTCATGGAGACCGTTGGTTCACTAGCTAAGACACTCCTGAGAGCACAGTGTGCACGGATTATCACGCAAACAGAAAGTAAGTCAAAAAGACATTCCTACATAGAAAAACTGAATAATTCAGAGGGAGAAATGTTCCCACACAAATGATTTGGTAACACTTGCTATGAATGCTATGTCTATAAAATAAAATGAACACATTCGTAACACATTATGATGCATTTATAAAGCATTAAAAACATGGTTACAAATATTTATAAAAATATTTAGATATAATATTTGCACTATAGATACCTTCATAATGCAGTACAAAGCATTCTTAATTCTTATACCGACCATTAAAATGCATTATCTATAGTGCATTTTAAATGAGAGCTTCATTGGAGCTAATGAAGTATTATAATCAACACTATAATGCCTTATGACTGTCAATAGAAAATGCTGTAATACTTTATTAATTCTGTCCATTAATTATATAGTCCATTATAATGCATCACGAAGGAATCTATAATGCTTAATAATTATAGACGACAGCTTCAAGTAAAGTGTTACCATTTTTTTAATTTATATTTTTAAATTGGAAATTTTTTTCTTCCTGTTCTTATGGCAAATACATTCTTTGCATGTATGCGTGGGAGGGGCTGTCCTGCATCCCTTTGAAGCTAAGATTTCCCCACCATTCACTGTGAAGCTGGCTTTAGACATAGAGAAACCAGGGCAGTGAATGTACCGCAATGAGGAAGAAGACCATACAGCTGAGAGAGAATCCACTGGTGTAGCCAAGGTACCCTAAAGAGGGAGGAGGCCCAGTCAATAACGCACAAAGACAGACAGACACAGGCAAAAGCAGATACACACACAGTGTTGTGACTACAATCACGCTCTGACTCTTAGCATTTTTCTCCAATATGTATGAAATTCTCCACATCTCTTGGATGTGGAAAGATCTTTTCATCCATGCCGCACGCCACAGATTCCTGGGCTAAGCAGTTACAGAAATAGCTCCAGACAGACCGTCCTCCAACACCAGCCCCATCATCTCCGAAGGCCTCATCCATTACGTAAAGGTGTGACAGCTGCTGCTCCATGCACTATGGTGAGACCCAGGAAGGGGAGTAATGTTGTGGGGGGTGCAAGAGTGGATATATCGGTCATTATAATCAGTAATTAAGGCTATAAAGTAAATTATTACTTCACAAGATACACACACTCCACTGTTTTGGCTCGCAGGGTTACTGGTTTATTCATTTTTAGTTATGGAGCAGAATATCTATTGTTTTGTATGTTTGTTTGGCTTCCCTGCTCACTGGCGATGATAATAATTCCTCCTTCCATCCTCAAGGTCCAGTCTTTTACACATCTCTTTGCCATCCTAAAGGACGGATTTTTCACATGGGGTTTGCACTGCTCGTGGGGACAGGTAACGCAAACAGGCCCCTTGTTCTTCCAAGCTGCATAAGCGGACCAATGGTCCAGGTGTAGAGGCCTGGCTGGATAACCAGCGATAGCTTGACTGCTGATGGAGGTCATGTAGGGGAGATTAAACGCTGACAGAGAGCATGCCGTTTACATAGGAGCACCAATGGTGGTGAACATGGTCTCCTTGCCTCTCCTACAGGTCGCTTCCTGCACTTTCTACCTCCATTCGTGTCGCACAGCCGTGCCACGTAGCGGCCATTAGCGAACATTAATGTGACCATCAGTCATCAGTGTTTGCTCTGGATACACTGCAAACGTGCACGTCGGGGCTAAAACATGGTTGTTTCCCTTGTGCTGAATATTCCCGATCCAAACCAAGGGGAGGACTATCCTTGGAGATATCTAACTTAATGGGAATCGTTGCTTTCCTAGGCCTACAGTATGCAGCTTCGGCAGTGAAAATAAATCCCCAGAGGCCTCGGTTTCTGCTTTTCCAATTCCCTAGCAACATTAAATTATACGGAGGCCCAGACCTCTTTGTGAACCAGCATTCAGTTTTGCTGGACAATCTGTTTAAAACTGATAGTAGAACAAACAGGCTGATGTGAAATTGAGTCCATCACACTGTGGTCCAAAACTACAGGGAATCTGTTTATGGAGGATCTCTTCAACTCCGTCCACCCTGTACTTACCCTTCTCTGTAACCAAATGAGAAACAGCCATAATCCCATCTATCCACCCTGCTGCCGGAATGACCTGGTTATGATTTCACTTGGGTCACCCTGTTCTTACCCGTTCTGACTTGGCACATTCACCACACATTTGAACCAAGGATACAGATGACAGATGAATTCCTGTACATCAGCCAGACAGAGCCAGACTTACTCTTACATATGGACAGTAAAGATAGATATACTCTTATATAAGGACAGTAAAGCTGAATGAAGGAGCCTCGGTATGTGGGTGAGCTTCCGGTGCTAGAGCGCTACGTCAGAGACAGACTCACCAAGCTGCTTCATCAGTGCCAGCGGCAGCACCACGCTGACAGACAGGATGACCACCAGGTAGTTGCCGTTCAGGTACCACTCACTACATGGGATAGAGTCAGAGAGGCAGGAGCTTAGCTGCATCGCATACAGTGCCCAGGATTAACACGCGTCTGTCAGACAATCAGAAAAAAGGGTACAGCCCTGCTACAGTTTTGTTCCCCAAGGTACAAATAACTTTAATGTACTCCCAATGGTCCTCAGAGTTTCTCTACCTTAAATTACACTAAAAGGCTCATTTTCCTCAGGTAGGGTACAATTGGCAACCCCTTGAGGGTACAGCCCCAGTGACAAGTAACTGTACTCTCAAAGGTACAAATTGTTACTGTTTTCTGACAGTGTACCTGCAGACAGTGGAAAACAGCAGCAGTCTGAGTGCTTTCAGGATGACCGCTGGTTCAATCCATGCACACAGCATTAATTGAGCACCTAGCAGAAACTTCTACTAAACTTTCACAGCTTATAATAAGGGGCCATGTCAGAAGTCACATGACCATGCTGTAATACTCAGGAAGCACAGGTATTGTTGGCACACGTCTGCCCCCCAGAGGGCATGGCATATAACACACTTCTAGTGTCTTCTAAAGCTGATGATTATTTATATATCTGACTAACTGTTATGTTAACATGTCATGAAAAAAAGCTAATGGGCTTGAGCACTCATAAGAGGAATTCCAAATGAATCACACTGCATACGCCAGAGAAAGGAAATAAACAAAAACATTGTTTGATCCCAACAAGTCACAACCGTTATATATCACATAAATCTTTTGTTCATTTTGCTTATACATTTTAAAGGGTAGTTCAGTATGATCCATCTGTTTTCCATCTTGCTCATCCAGTGCAGGGTCAGAGTGGGCCTACAACCCATCGTAGAAAGTACAGAGTTATGGGAATGACATCATAGTATGCTGACTGAACACACATCCATCTTGTATACCTGCTTGTCCTACGCAAACTCACGGGGGTCCAGAGCCTACCCTGGAAGCAAGGCAAGGAACAACCCAGTACAGGGAGCCAATCCATCACCAGACACACACACCATAAGTCCAAATCACCTCGGCATGTTTTTTCAGATGTGGGAGAAACCAGAGTACAGAGACCCAAATCCCACAATGACATTCAAACTCCACACACAAGGAACCATGGCGAAGACTTGAACCCCAGTCCTATAAGGGTGAGGTAACGGTGCGAACCATTGCGCTACCACGCCACCCCAGACAGAATGTCTTCATGGGAAATTGAAAATTATAATAGTAATTTCTCTGTAGGATTTATACCAAAAAATGTTTAGTCAATTAATTTAGCCTTGCACCATAATCATGTTCTTGAACATCCATTGCCTGAAGGCACATGGGTAATTCTGAGGTTCAGTATTTCACTGTGAAAGTAATTCTGCCAATATGCTAGATGCCCCTTACATTTTCAATAGTCTATCTGATTATGACACTAATGATGATGTTTGTTGCAGAATAGATGAAACGTTTGGGAAGGCCATGAAGAAAACATGAGAGAGGTATCTGTCCAGGGCAGCCAGTCTGCTTCCAGTCACAGCAGTAGCTCACAAGCACCACCACAACCCAGCAGTGTGCTTCTGAGGGCCCATAGAGCTACTGGAACAGACAGAAGATGCCATCTGTATCTCATCCTGGAATATCTGCTCCATCCCAATCAAAGTCAATCACTCCTACTATGCACCTACTCTTCCAAGCCTCCAACCTTTTGTGTTTCTATACTGGGGTATAATGGTCCCTCTGGGTATAATATAGTGTTTTTACAGGATACCTCTCAGTGGGATCTGTTAGACAGTCCACACCCATCTGCCCTGAGGACGGACTTGATCTGCTTCTCTAACCTCATGGAGGGAATTAATTTCAGTGCTGCAATGAAGCTACATTTTTTGGTTGTTTCTTCAACATCCATTTTATTAGTACTGAACTGGGGATGTCTACAGGGAGAGGAGAGGTGTCTGTCTCATTAATCTCGCTAGTAGACCACCAGGGAAAGAAGATAATTAACAAAGATCACACCTCACACTGCACAAGGGCCAGGCATGGGCTCATAATCAAGGTGTCCTGCACTTAATGATCACACTACAGTGAACATTTTGGTCTGAGCTTATACCAAAATTTATAATCAGGAAAGGACATTAGTAGATAGGGGTTTTACAGTTAAACTGTATTCCACACAAGGACAGTACACTAACAAAGTACTGATGTTAATAGCAAAACACTGTTAGACAAGCACACTGTACTTACACAGGGCAGAGTACTCACAAGGGTGCTATGATTTGAATCTTGTCAGTAAACATCTGTTAATAAATGAATGACTCACCTTGTTGGCGTATCCACCCCCAAAAAAGCCTGGATGACCAGAGGGAACTCGTATTTTACGATGTAGAGGTAACTAGACATGGCTGTATGACGAGACAGATGGCAAGAGACTGTTAAAGAACAAAACCATCGTAAAATGCAGAAAAGCATCCTATATTTCAGACAAGCAGCCACTTAATGGGCCGTCATAAGGGTAAAAGTTGCATTGTGTCGGCGCAGCGGTGATCTGGTAGAAAAATACAGAGACACACTAATTAAGCAGCTCGGAAGTGAAACTGACAGGGTTAGACTGGGCAAAGACATTTATTATCTTATTAAAGCATTGCTTGTGTTTGTTTATTGTTCCAGAACCTAATTTCTGTTTGTTTTGCCTGCAAGGGTTAGCGGGCAGAATGTAGCAGACCATCCATGACAGAACAAAAAATGGGACTGCAACATAGAGAAACTGGGATGATGAATGGGACAGGAAATGGATGAAAAGGATAGGACAGGCACTGGAATAAGGATGGGAACAGAGACTGAGAGCGAGAATGACACGACAACAGGGTCTAATACCAGGGTTAACTGAGACTGTGCAAGAACATATAATGGAATACAAATATGAGGACTGAGTCTGGGAAAAAGAAATTAGGTCCAGGACAGAACAAAGTGAGATTGGGTTTGAGATTGGGTGCAGGACAAAGAGTGAAACTAGTCAGGTTTAGATACAGGGCCAAGGACCGTGACTGTTAAAATGGCAGGGACAGAAACAATGTCAGCAGCAGCTATAGGCCCAGAACAAGCAGAGATGGAGCAGCACAGGGTCAGCCTGCCAAGACGGCTGCTGGGGGAGGCTGCGAGGCCTGTCACCACACCATTCCACACATTCACAGACACACAGGCAGAGAGAAAGGGGCCCATCAAAGACACAGTAATGAAGACAAGTGGGAACAAAGTGTCTGGAGTACAAAGGCAAACACTGCTTATGGCATCAGGACATAATGGGGGGAATTGCACCACTATTAAGACATGTGCCAGGACCGAGATGTACCTGATTTGCGAGAGGAGGTCCACTTACCTCCGATGTTCTGCAAGGTGATGGCAATCCCAGCAGCCATCTTCCCCGGGGTGCCAAACGCTCTGAATCCCAGCTGCTCATAGGCTCGGATCCCTAGAACACGAACCATAGCAGTACTGCCCTGCGCATCTGCACCACTCACAGTCTTTGTTATTGTTTTTGGTATTTTATATTTTTATATTTAGTGTATTTTATTACACTCTGTATACTTTAGATATATTACACCTAGTATAATATGTAATATATTCCCTATTAATACAGCACAGCCAGTGAATTTGCCAGAACAAGCATTTCACTGCATGTTGCACGAGTACTACTGCATGTGACAAATAAAACTTTGAACTGTGAACTTTGCTGCTGCTCACAGCTGCATTTATACGGCCTGGGATTGCACTAACTTGGTGGAAAATCTTGTGTTACTATTACAGGCACTTGCTCCTGTGTTCTGGGGCTAAATCCTTCACTAACCACGCCTTCCCAACAGAACCATATCCATTTCTTCTGTCAGTGTCCTGCTGTGTTACTTATCTTGAAGATAAACCAAAAAACATGTAATGTAATGTAATGTAATATTATATCTAATAATTCTATAAGTATAAAAGCATACAATCTGCAGGAACATTCCAAGCTCATGTTCTAAAACCACCTAGCAATGTCATGTCATTAAATCCCCAAACCTCGACTCATAGATTCCCGATGAAGGCACCAGTGAAGGATACGCAGGGCGAATGACAAGACACTCTCAAAGCAACAAAATGATCACTCCTGTGAGCTGGGTTTGAGCAGCTATGCAACATTAAGATGCCAGGAATGGGCACGGAGCCATGCATCTAGCTGGGGGGGGGGGGGACTTACCCACAATGCCTGAAGACTTGAGCAGCAGATGAATAGAGTAGGATGAGAGGGCAGCGACCACAGTGAGGAGGAATCTGTAGGATGGGGTCAAGTGTTTCTCTGTTTAACAGCTTCATCATCATCATCTACCATAACACTGATGGTTTACCCTGTCAATTAGCCTTTAACCTGCATCCTTCCAAAATTAGTATTTGCACTTTAAAATAGAGACTATTTGATCTATCTGGGACACATGAAAATACTATCCATTCATACAAGTCTGTACATCAGGAGGATATTACTAGGGGGAAAATATTTACAGAGAGAGAGATCAGAGGCAGCTGAGCAGGGACAGGAGAAGCAGAGAGCCCCACGTACAGGGGAGACAGCTTCGGGCTTCAGCTCCTGACATCTGCACAAACACCACAACATGGAAGTTTGTGGAGAAACCTGATCCGCCTGCTTCCTCCAAACGGGCCTTGACTCTCCGCATCTGATTTTAAAAATTTTGTTTCTCCTGGCAACAGATACCGGACTCCAAGCAGCTTTTGCCCCCACCTCACCTCTGCCCCCATGATGGGAGGGGGGAGGCGGAGGAACCCCTGCGAAGGGGCGGGAGCACATGAGGGTGACATGGGGCCCAGGGGCCCCGGCCTCACGGCCCACAAATTCCTGTCACAGCCAGCCAATTTGCAAAAGGAGACATTTTACCTACTGAGCAAACAATTTTATCCAAAGCAATATGCATTAATAGAGAAAGCACGACCAGCCAGGACCTGAAGCATTTGCAGTTAAGGGCCTAGCTTAAGGACCCAACAGCAAAATTGCTCTGCTAACCACAGGATTCAAGCCAGCAACCTTCTTATCACAGGTGCAGCACAGGTAACCCACAGAACCACACACCGCCTGAACGAATCATATGCAGTAAAAACAGGTGGTGAATTGATCACGCTCAGGCTGCTAAAGGTAAACTCCAGGAAAGATCACTGATGCCAGACAGCCTTGTACGAGCTCTGAGATGCCCTTATTTCAACCCTGCATCCTATGGACCATTTTTACCCCACAAAGCCCTTTAAAGGTCACTTCCCCTACGCCGAGATGCCTGACTTCTACAGGGCACCAGGGGGCATCGCAGGGGCAATGCCACCTTCCCACAGCACCCAGCCATCTCTTTTGTTTTTCGCTAAAGCCCACACACAACGGCCGCCTCTGTGCCGTAAGTTCTTCCGGGGATGTAGTCCACCAGCACCTCTCTCCAGGGGCACAATCATCTCCATTCAGCCGTCGACGGGGGCAGCTGGCCGCTCCGGCCACAGCTGTGAGGCCCCGAGGCTGTAAGCCTGAGGCAGACCTGAGGCCGGCTGGAGGTAGATGCCTCACATTCCTGTGAGGTTTCCACAGCCTTCCGGACGCGCGTCAAAATCCACGGGAGAAGGTAAGGCGGCAGCACTGAGGTGGTTTTCTTGCTTGTTTCTGGGTCCTTACGGTGCTTCATTATAGACTGTGTGCCTCTCCTGGAGGAAGCTGAGATTCAGAGTGACACTATTCACAGAGAAAAACTGGAAGCTTTGGGTTGTTACCACACTAGAGTGCAGTAAACACCACAGGATCACTGTCTGACTGCCCTCCCCTCTCCCCCTCGCTTGTCTGTTATCATGTCTTCCTGTCACTGGCCCTCCAGCTCGCCAATTGCCCGTTGACCGTTAAACATTATCTCCGACATCCGCTGACATTTTCCTCACATCCGCTGACACGCATGTTTCCACGTGTACTGTACCACGAGACACAGAGGTAGCTGCGCGGTGCTGTGCGCGGCGCATTTGAGTCACGTTCCGCTCTGTGGACCCGGCAAGGTCAGACACGTAGCGTGCGGCAGCCACCCACATGAAATCTGGCCCATCAGGCGGCTTGACAAACTCTCCGGTAAAAATAGAGCATGGTGGCCTAGACATGATCTCTGCCTGAAAACCTCCGGACTGCGCTTTTGGGTCAACACATTCTTACGAATCTAAATTTAGTGACGGAAGACCAGGGTAAATATTAGGAATAAGAGACACACAGTGTATGAATAAATAGTGTCTGATGCGTCCACCTACAATGGTAAGGTGGCCATGGCGCTGCCTGAAGGACCTACAAAGAGCCTTAGCTAAACTGAAACAGCAGCATGTGATCAACTATTTTCTACCATCTTTAATAAAAGGCAACTTCACAAGGGTGCATAGCATTACATTATTAATTCTTACATTATATCATTCAGATTTAGCCCAGATGAAAGGCCTGCAAGTTCCATTCCTCCTCGCGGCATTGCTTTGATTATTTTTTGTACAGCATTGCAGAAAGACACAACATCCCTGTCTCTGAAAAAACATTGAACTAAAGCATTAATTGTAAAATTAGATGTATTTTACAAGGTAATGTAAATTGTAAATATTCTACTATTAAACATCATTTTCTCCTGGGTTCCTCTGGATTCAGCAGCAATAAAAGGCTTCAAAAAATCCTGATTTACTAAACCTGAATTTCTAATGGTTTTGTTGATATCAGGAACACATCTGCCATTCAAACAGGATTCAGTTGACTGGTGAATTAACTGCTACTTCTAATCCGTTCTTGCTACATGTTACTTGGTGCATTTAAAGTAATAGTGAAGCTGAACAAATCTCTCTTTGGCTCCTCCACTGAGCTCCTTCGAAGCAGTCAGAGAAGGCCACAGCGAATAAAAGAATATTGGAAGCTTTTTATAAGGCTGCAGTTTAGTGCCTGTGGCGACACAGGAGTGAACACAGCGGAAGGGCACTAGTCCATCCATCCATCTTTCAACCACCTATTCTTAGTCAGAATCATACAATCCCAGGCAGCACAGGCTGGGTCATACCCCAGACTGGATGCCAATTCGTCACAGGGCACACACACTGGCACATGAAATCATACAATAGGGACAGTGTAGAGGTCTCATGTCTTTGGACTGCAGGAAGAAATCAGAGTACCAGAAGGAAAGCCACATGACACAGGGAAGACATGCAAACCCCAAATGCACAGAGCAGATCCAGGATTTTAACCCCTGATCCTGGAGGTGTGAAGCAACAGTGCTGCCCACTGAGGGAATGGCAAGAGTGTAAAAGTTAAACCACGCCAAGGACACAGCCTGAACATTCAGAGCAGTAATTAAACTCCAGCTATAATCCACAGGGGAAGCCTTTGATCTTACCCTCAGGACTGCATACGGCAAATAGTATACGGGTTGAGCACAAGATAAACTCAGAGCAGTAATTCCACATCAAGATGAGCCTGGTCAGTAATCAACACCCGCATAACACTAACATTGCAAGTTTACTTCATCAGGCTCAGGTAAAATCTTGTGTTTGTTTGGATGCTTTTTTCAGGCTGAAAACCAGGCCCTCTAGCAGCCTGTGTGTCCACGTGCAGATGTACATATGTAAGGTATTCCGCTAATCAGAGTCACATGCTTCACAGGCATTTGCACATACCTAAACATCTGCACAATGAACCATTCTGTTCAATGTTTTCAAGGCTAGGCCTCTTCAAAAATATACTGACAACCTCAAATTTCAGATTCCACTGAGGATAAGCATTATCCATTTTCAGGGCTGCTTCATGCGTCATGTTTAACGGCGTCTCAGTAGGCTATAGTGACTACAAACATAAAAATGCTATTTACTGATGTGAAATATTTTGATTTTTTTATACAGCTGATGATCAAAGCTAAAGATAAACAGCAATTATTGAACTTGCATCTATAAATACATAGATCTATAAGGGATGAACAAGATAATGGAGTGCTTGAAGGAAGTAGATGAAAGATATAGATTTCTACACTCCAGAACTTCCTATAAAACTTCAGTGTTTTGATCAGGTGATCTGGAAGCCCATATAAGGTGATTAACTTTATTCTGGGGCTCATGAAATCACTCCTGGGAGTTTTACTCACACAAAAATATTCTGAGGACAAAATGAAAACTGATTGGTTCAGAGAGATAACCAATCAGATTGTAGGTGGATCCAAGCAACTGGAGGAGGTGGGACCAACCAATCAGATGTCTTGGCCTCGCCTCCTCTAGTTGCTTGAAACCACCTCCTCTACAGTCTGATTGGTTATCTCTCTGAACCAATCAGTTTTCATTCTGCCCTCAGAACATTTTTGTGTAAGTAAAATTCCCATAAGTCATGAATCCATTAATCAGTTTGTTTAGCAGTGTCTTCAGGGAAATCATCATCTTGCAATATGAGAACATCATGAGGGAACTGTGCTTGTGTCATACGATGGATCTGTTCCTGTAAAATTGCCTCATATTCCTTGGCTGTGATATGATCATTCGGGGCATATTCTCAAATCAACAGATATTGTGGGTTGGCATCCTTTGGCTGTATTCAAACCAAACCCATTCAATTGTAGCAAAAAGTGAGAATGATGACTCATTTAGGCCTTGAGTTGCTTAAACTTGGTAATGCGTTTTAATGAATTGGCTTTGGATACAGGCATTTCCTGAACTACTGCTCTGCCATAAATTCGAACTTTTTGAAGCTCACAACATAGTTTTTGTTAAGGCTGGGTCACAGATGCGACGTTTCTGATAGGGGATCATCTTTGAGGTCGCTCTTATGGTGTTTAGCAGCTATTCACAATCTATTCCCCAACGTGTTTGCGCTTAGTAGAAAGCTCTGGTCCATGGAGGAATATGTGTGATATTGGGTTAGCTCAGCCAGCCCACATGGTTTATTTTGGAAGCGCAAATACTCACCAAAGCCAGTGCTGTAAATATGGATGAACAAGGCTATAAGAATGTTTACTGGTGAAATTTCTGCTTTTGAAAGTAAAAATAGACCTTGATTTTGTAAAGCGCTTAAAATGTATTGGTTAGCAGTTTAGTTAGATTTTAAGTGGTTGGTCCCTAATTTTTCCAGTAGCCCTGTTGTTTTTATTGCACAATTTACATAAATGAATGTGTCATGATATAGCTGAAATTACTACCAATGCACTACTAATTGTCATTCAGTCTAATATGACTCATCTTTGTACTTCAGAGGTCTGCGACCCAACTGAAGGCCAAGGAGCCCAGACAAAGTATCAAGTTGCAGGCCAGGTTCAGGTCATGTTCATCTTTGGGCTTGGGTAGGGTTAAGGTTAGTCTTTTATGTGCAATTTAATCCATAGCTTATTTGTGCTTTCCATAGCACCCCTAAGCATCCAAGTAGAAATGGAAGAAAATATGGCAAAATCTCACAAAATCTGTATACATGTCTGACTTATATTTACACAAATTCAGGTTTGGGTCTGGTTCATTTTTTTTATTTGCTAGTACTCTGTCAGCCTGGGTCGGGTTCAGTCTCAGGGTCTTGGGTTCAGACTGGCCTTGGGCTTTAATTTCATGCCTCTACTGTACTTGCATTTGTAACTTTAATGTAGTTAAAGTCCTTTTTTCTGTGGTATTTCCATTATTTTGTCCACCCCCCCCCCATAAGCACATATAATAAACACATACAAAGCACATATATAACATACATACTATAACAGGTAAATGCATGTCTATGATCCAGTCACACGACTCACAGGAAGAGGACAATCCCAGTGTTGGCCATGGCGTACGCCAATCCCAGAATGCCACTGCCCATGATGGCGTTCCCCAGGTTGAAAACTGACATTCCGAAAGAAGTCTTCCCTTCAAACTGACAGAAAACACAAATAAGTGAAGGGGGCGATTCTGATTTAATTCATGAATGCATGGAAAGGGCTTCCAGACCGCAATGGGACTCACATCAGTGAAGTTAGTTGTTTTCATGTTGTCCATGTCAGGCAAGAAATCTTGGCTTTCTGCCACATTCCCCTCCGCAGTCTGGAGCCTGTGGGGACTTACATTGAACACCAGCATTAAGCTATATGCTTAAAGCACCTTAAAATGCTTTCATTAAAATTCTTAAAATGCTTTAGCATCCATGACAAGTCAATGCCTCACGCCTCACTAGAACATGTGTGTGTGTGTGTGTGTGTGGATTATGCATATATTACATTGTGGGGACCAAATGTTCCCCACAATGTAATAAAAACCTGTTATTTTGATGTTGTGAGGACAATTTTTCAGGTCCTCACAATGATCTGTGAATGCAATCAAAAATCTAAAGATGCCAAAAGTTTCGTATTTTGTTTGGTTACTTAGAGTTAATGGTATGGCTGGGTAGGGATTAAGGTTGTCATGTTGGGGTTAGAGTTTTCCTCATAGAAATGAATGAAGAGTCCCCAAAAAGATATAATTACAAACCTGTGGGTGTGTGTGGGTGTGTGTTAGGGTGAAACCTGAAAAGATCTCTACATACCTGGAATTTTGGGGGCTCTTTCTACACAGCGCAAAGTGTCACCGCAAGAAAGCAGGAAGGCAACAGAGATGACACTTAAAGACGCAGGTGCAGCACACACACCAAAGGGTCACCCAAATAAAGTCACATTCCTGCACCACTCTCACAGTAGGAGTTTCATCTTTACTGTTAATCAATCACCATGTTTTCACTCAGTGATTGAACAAGCTGAGAAGAACCACTTAAATAAACACGGGAGCACTGACCACTGGGGTAGTCAATGCTACTCATTTCCATGGCACTAAGTCATCATAGCTCATGTACATGACAAGGCTTAGTTCACCTACTGGTAGAGTACATGAAGAGGATCAGGCATCTTACTGATGCAATGGTCAGGGTTAGTCCTCTTACTAGCAGAGAACATGAGGAGGGTTAGTCCACTTGATGATAGTTAATCCTCGTACTGGTACAGCACATGAACACAGTTAGTCCACTTACTGGTCTTTGTCTTCTGGCATCGACTTCCCCGGCCCCTTTGCCTCCTCCCCAAGGTCGTGACCCTTCCCATTGGGAATGATGTTCATCTCTGACTGGGCTGCAGGCTCCATGCTCTAGGTGCAGATTATCCCGGATCCTGTGGGCGCTGTGAGCAAAGCTCCTGTACTCCTTCCCTCAGGGATCTGGGGAGACAGAAGGGAGTCTGAAACATCTGTGCTCCAAGGAAAGGAGCCAGATTAACTGGGGCACTTGGAGTATGTGTGGGTGGAGGCCAGGTTTAAACAGACTGTGAGTGTTTTTGTAACTATATGTTTGTGTATGTATGGATTTGGGCAAGTGTGTAAACATGCATGTGTGATGTCGGAGTATGTGTGTAAATATATGTGCATGTGTGCAGGCACCAAGCTTGGGACTCATTACTCACTTCCCCAAAAACATAATCTCCATTGACAGTGCCATTGATATATTTCTACTCAATTTCAATTTGTATATATATTATTTATTATAATTGTAATCTGTTCTTCCATAATCAATCTCCAACTAGTTGCAAAGATGCATTAAAATAGAGTTATGAGACACGCATCCATTGACCTGGTCCATTTGAGTACCTTGGGGATGGTGCCACAGAGACATAAATGTGATCCGTGTACTTTTGGAATCTACCTCATGAAAGGACTTGGGTAATATCTAAGGATTTCTGTATGTCACGCTTAACTGCACACAACTTCATAAGAAGTGCTGAGGGACCCTACTGGGTCAGAAGTCGATCCCTAGAAGGCACAAGGCATCCCAAAGCCAACCCATGCAGAGCAGACTGTGGAGTACACAACATCCCTTCCATAAATCCTCTTTCACTCTCATGATGAACACAAGACTTGCCAAAGTTGACTAAACGGTGGTAAAAATACAACCATGTGCTAAGCGGTTTTAAGGGGAAACAGACTGAATGTGCTTTCAGAGCGCTCTCTGGGAAATGAGTCTGAATTCTAAACTCCATTCAGGAATGGGAAGGAAATGTTGACAAGGAAAGAGAAAATCTAACACTTCCTTAAAGAAAACACCAGCTATTGCCTGCAGTGGGGGGGGGGTGGTGAGACAGTACAGAAAGCCGTAACCTCCCTGCAAACAATGGGCGTCTCCAGGGTGTCTAATGCAGTGTTGAATGGCTCAATTCCCCTTGCCACTGGCAGGTATTTTCTGCCCAGTCTACAAATGAGCGCAAAGGGTGCCGACGTGGGTCTGAATTCCCTCCCCACCGTCCTCATCAAATTATGGCTTCAGCCGCCACTCTCCCAGTGCCCCCGCAGCTCCATCTCAGGTTCAGCTCCAAGTATGCCCACGCAGACAAGGAAGCTGGTGTGCGAGTAGAGAAAACAGCGGTGACGTACAGCTTCCAGGTTCCTGTTGACGGGTTCGGCCTGCTCCGTTTTGAAAGAGCGCTCTTAATTTCACATTAGCTATGCAGCAAAAGACTGGATTGAGCCTTCTGTAAACAGGGGTGGGGGGGGCAGTGCGGACACTGAACCAGTGGGGCCCAGTGGAGAAGATGAAAAGCAGCAGAACCAGATCTGACCAGCTTAGAACCAGTTCTGGCCCTTGCCGGAGAGCCTTTGTGTGTCTGTTTTTTGCTTTCTGATTTTTTTTTTAATTAGGAAGGGTTTAACATAACGGCAGTCTTCATCCTTACAGTGCTCCAAGCTCTTTCCTGGCAAACCGTCAACGCTCTCACACCCCCCGTTTAGCTCTGGGGTCCCTTGTGGCATCTACGTCTCCCTGCCTTTGGAAAAATGAAACACTGCATAGTCTGAGAGCTGAATCTCTGATGGCTGCATCAGATCCGCCCGGACCACCGTCCCACATTACCGGTTCCATCAACCACGTTATGCGCCTAACTACGCAGCCGGGGTCTTCTGTTTCCCCAGCTAAAGCCGGGCAACGTGGCTGGGCAGCAAAGCACAGCGCACAAAGCGGCGTGTTATGCGGTTTCCTGGGAACAGCCCATGGAACACTGGGCCTATTGTGCCAGCATCATTACACCCCAGGACCCCTTGGCTGCAACTCGCCAGGGCACTTGAGGGCTGAAAAGGTGATTCAGTGGCCCCCGGTTGAAAAAACAGCAACCTTAAATTCAACAGATGCCAGTGCCTGGGCTCATGCAACACAAGCCCCCGCCCCCCCCACCAACCAAACACCCCACCAATCACAGACAGGACAGTCAGCACGAGCAGTGGAGAATAAACGTGAGAGGCTGGAAGCCCCACAGAGAGGCCATCTCTCTGTGGGGGGGCCTGGCAGGGTGTGGAGTGCAGGCCGCCCCGGAGGACAGAGTATTACCTTGGCGATTCCTAGCATCACTAAAGCAACACACACATCCCCTAAGCAGACAGGCGTCAACACATCAGTGCAGGCATCGAAATATCTGCTGGGCTAAACTGACGATACCAGAATGTTGTGTCCATATGGACAAGAAGGTACATGGCTAGTTCCTAAAAAAGACTTCCCCCCCCCCGAAGGCCACCGGCAAAAATAGACAAATACTGAAAGATCACATCATGTGTTTAAGTCTTCCCCATAATGCCCCGGACAGCCAGGAACTGTGACAACATGAAGGTCTCGGTACTAGACCATACGTCCTCTCCTACATCTAGTCCAGTATGTAGCTGGCTCAAGTCAAGTTGTCTTGTTCCATCAAAGGATTATGTTGTTAAAGATTTCTGACATTTTAGATGTAAGCTAGAGGCTGGTTTACCACACCGACCCACTGGAAACACCACGGATGAGCTGCCTTAATCATGCACCATGTTCTTAATGAAGAGCTGCTTATCTTACCAGAGTCACTGCATAAATAAGCATTTTAACTGCCATTAATGTGTCCTGCTACTGCGAACGGAACTTGCCAGATTGCCCGCTACGGGACTTAATGACAGTGCGTTAGGTTCAGGCCGGATCTGCGCAAGCTGCTGACGTTATTGAGGGTATCCTGTAACACTGTACTCCAAGCACATGACCGGGATGGCATATTCCTGGGCTATGAAGTGCCCAGGATACTCTATATCCCTTTCAACATTAACTGATTTTCGATGTACAGCCAGATGTCTGGTGTGTCCCAAAGGCTTCTCTCCTTTACTGCTCCTGATCATTCATGGTGGAGTATGGCTGGTCCGAGGTGCTCAGGCTGCTGTCTCTGAAGAGGAATGCAAAGATTAAACCCCCCAGGTGGGGAGGGGGGAGATACACAGAAAGCTCTCCTGCCTAAGTTGACGATTTTAGAGAAACATCGCCTTTAAGGCTCTGAATCATACCAACAGTTCCTCACTCTACCTGAAAGTATGAGATTCTTGGAGAAGAGACAGAATGTTCCAGTAGAATTAGAATTAAGTGATCAATGGTCATTGTTGACACACCACAGCACACAGTACACAACAACGAAATGTGTCTTCTGCATTTAACCCATATGTGACAATGTGACATAGCAGGGGGCAGCTAATTCAGCACCCAGGGGGCAGTGTTTGGGGGCAGCACCTTGCTCAGGGTACCTCAGTGGTGCCTTGCTGGTCAGGGATTCGAACCTGCAATCTTTCAACTATAAGTGTGCTTCCCTAAACATCAAGCCACCACTGCCCACTGAGAAGTAGAGGTGAGGCTGTGGGCAGCAAGGACGTTGAGAACTATAACAGTCGATTCCGTCACTTCAGGGGGGTGATGTCACATGTTCTCCAAAATGACGCAAGCGAACAGCATCCCCCCAGCACAGGAAGTTATTCCAATGACATTCCAGCAAAGGCCGTTTCGGCCAGATTAAAGGATTAAACTTTCCCTGCTGCTGTCTGATGGCCTGCTGTTTTCTGGACAGCCTGACAGGATGCGTATGACAGGATTAAATCTCAATGGGGCAGAAATTGTGATAAACCACAGGCATGTCGCACTCACATCTCGTTAATCCTTATTTAAATATACATTAATCGAAGTCATCATTCGTGTCATTAAGATAAGTGTGCTGGTCCATGGGCAAGACGGTGGTGCAAAGGGAATCCAAACAACTCCTGAAACAAAGACCTTTACATCAGACATTAAACTCACTGACAGATAGTGACAGACAGCCTATTGAGCTGGTTCGCGCATCAAGGCATTACAGAGCTCTTCGTCATAGACATAAGATTCTGAGGCACCCTGAGATGCTGGCATTTCTGAAGGAGGCTCACCCTAAATTTAGATTCTATGATCCAATCTCCCCATCGCTGACACCTGCATAAACACTAACCCCAAAAAGCAAAAACTGGACATCCATTTGAAAACTTTAACTCTCTATTTTTATCATGCCCTGTCAAGATGATGTCAACTCCCGGTGACCATATAAATAGCATTGTTCCAGAACTTGCTGTCTTCTACACAGTTCTTAAGGTTTCCCTAAGATGTTTTTGTAACAAGTCCATCCATCCTGTTTCTGGTCACCTTCCACTTTTCCAAGCTTTATGGTCTTCTCCTATGTGCAATGTAAGAAAGCTTTAGTCTGGTCATTGCGCAAAATTTCTACGTAGAGTTGTGTCATCATAATCCCTTCAGCAAGGCCCTTAACCCCAGCCTCATGTAGGCAGTTGTATGCCGATTGACATAGCTTTATGGCCCCAAGGCTTTCTCATTTCTGTGAAGTTTTTTTAAATATGTCAATGTAAAATTAAATAAGAAATAATGCATCTGTTTCTTTTCATTATTTAACTGCTACTTTAACAACAAAATACATGGAAAAAATTTTTTGGAAATGTGGTAGGAACACCTGCACTTTTCTTATTAACATATAACTTGTATCTGTCATGAGTCACAGAACCGCATCCGCCAGCCAGCTCAGACCTTCCCAAAGCCTGGCGAATTTTCTGCACTCAACACAAGCACAGTTTTAGCACCTGAAACTAATTTCCCCGGAACCTCTATAAATAATCCCTTGTTAGGCTTCCCCAGTGTAAGGTATTGGGAGTCACTCCGTACCAAGTGTTTTCCAAGATCTGTGATTTGTACTGTGATCGTTCTGTGTATTCCGACCTACTGTCTGTATTTACCAACTCTGACTACTAGACTCTACCACTGGTTTGTCTTTGTCCTGATCTGGCCATTAACATTTTGGCTTTTCCTGACCAAGGTTCTTGGATTCTCTTCCGAGTTACAAGTGAAGTGAATATGCAGAAGG